ATATACATGATTTTACAAGTCTTTATCTAGATTTTAAAATCCTTATTGCATCTGAAAGTTAACCATCTATTATAGTGGGCAATTTGGGCGTTTTTGTTTTTGTTTTTTTCTGAGGCACTCTGGCTGTGTGCCCCTGGGTAGAGTGCAGAGGCATCCTTTTAGCTCACTACCCCCTCAAACTCCAGGGCTCAAATGATCCGCCTTCCTTAGACTTCCGAGTAGCTGGAGCTATAGGTGCACACCACTGTACCCTACTAATTTTTATATTTTTAGTAGAGACTATTACTCTTGATCAAGCTGGTCTGGAACTCCTGAGGTCAAGCAATCCTCCCACCTCAGCCTCCCAGAGTGCAAGAATTATAGGCATGAGCCACCACATCCTGCCCCTTATTATAGTTCTTTAACAGCTTTCTTAGCAAGTTAGTTCCCTATAAAGAAAATAATAGTAATATTATTGAATTCTACAATGTACAGAGCACCTCGATTCACTTAATGCTTATGAGATGGAGTAGGTACTATTTTCTTTCCTTTTTTTTTTTGCAGTTTTTGGCCGGGGCTGGCTTTGAACCTGCCACCTCTGGCATATGGGGCTGGCTCCCTACTCCTTTGAGCCACAGGTGTGCCACCCTATTTTCTTTTTTTTTTTTAAGCTGTTTCCTGCTTAGCAGATAGAGCAGGTACTATTATGTCCCATTTCCCAGATGAGAAAGTTGATGCTATTCAGACCATAAGGGCAGAAACTATCGATGTTTATACTACCTACTGCCTTCAGTGCTTTAAATATTTGAATGCTTTACATCACTTACACAGCTTAAAGCCTCCTTTGCATAGGTGTCACGACCCCAAGCAGTTGGATTATTTTGCTTGGACTTTTTCTCAACCAAGCTAAATAGTCCCCCATGCCTCTATCCACTAAAATACTATATATCCAAATTATTGATGACAAGGACTCTTTCTGAACATTTTTGTGGCTACTTAAAGAAAAAAGACCTAATTATTATTATTTTAATAGGGAAGCTATATCTTCTAGGATTAAAATAATATACTCCAATGGCCCATGCCCAGTTATATGTTCTTAGATTGTCATTGGTCTTCTGGTAAAACAGAAAACCTATAGACAAATTCTAAAACAGCTATATTCTTTTCTTACTATTGGTGTAGTGTTGGTACAGATTTGATTTGAAATCCTTAAGACAGCATACTTTGTACATAAATAATCTGGATAACCAGTAGGTCAATAAGTTTGTTGCCCATGAGCTAACACTGAAGAAATGGAAAAAGGAAACCTGCAAAAATCCAGAGAGAAGATACATTTAATCCTTGAAGTCTTGGTTTGAAGTCTTTTATGCATTAGATCATCTAATTCTGGAAGAATAACAATGGTGGAGCATCTTTGTCTTTTTCCTCTAACAGGCTGCTGCCTCACAGGGGACATAAATTGTGCCATTTCTTCTGTTTGCAAGTGTCTAATGTTAGAACGCTCCAGAGTTTGGTCAGTGCTTGGACTCTTCAGTCTCTCTGCCTTGGTGAGTCATCCATTCGAGTAGTGTCAAATACCTTCTGCCCTGGCTCTCAAATTTGTACTTTCAGCCTGACCATTTTGCTGAATCATAGTCAACTAGAATCATGTACAACTAGATTATTAGGCTTCTCAAATTTAAGATTAACTAATGCTTATTTCCCTGCTCAGTCTTCTCTGAGTCCTCCCCTTCTAAGTACATGGCCCTTTCATTCACTTCGTTACTCAGAGCAAAATCACTGGGGTCATCCTTGACTTCTCTCTTTGTCTTCCATGCCTCATATCTGATTGATTAGAAGATGTTTTTGGCTCTAGCCTAAGAGTATGTTTTGAATTTATCTACTTTTTTTTTTCTTTTTTCATTGTTTTAAATTCAATCCAATGAATCTGACCACTTTTCACCACCTATATTAGTCTAAACTATTTCTCTTGTTTGGACTCCTGCAGCCTCCTAATTCATCTCCTTCTGTTCTTGCTGCTTTTTTATTCTTCACCCAGCAGCAGAGATTAACCGTTTAAAATGTGCATCAGGTCACATTGCTCTTGGATCCTATGGTTTTCTGTCATTGAATAAAATCCAGTTCTCAGTGAGGTCTATAGGCCTCTTCATGATCTAGACCCTGGCTTCCCATAGCCTCACCCTCTCTAGCCTCTTTGCTGTTAGTTGAAAACAGGCTCATGTCTATCCTGAGAATGTTCTTACTTGTTCTTTCTCCCTTCTGGAATGTTCTTACTCCTTCCCCATCTCCCAGATTTGCATGGTGAGCTTCTTTACATTGCTTAGGTCTCTGATCAAACTAAGGTCATTCCTGCCTACCCTATCCAAAATAACAAACTTTCTTCCCTCTCTATGGTGCTCTGCTTTACTGTCTCTCTTTTTTTTTTTAATTAAAAAATCAGATAAAATTTTTATACCATAAAATTTATCCTTCCAAAGTTTACAGTTTATGGGTTTTGGTTATTATGCATCTGTCATCACTATCTAATTCTAGAATGTCTTCATCACCCCAAAAAGAAACCCAATATCCACTAATAATTACTCCTCATCCCTCCAACTTCTGGAAACCACTCATATACTTTCTATCTCTATAGATTTGCCTATTCATTTCGTATAAGTGAAGTCATACAATATGTGCCCTTTTGTGCCTGGCCTTTTCACTTAGCATAGTATTCTCAAAGTTCATTTGTTTTTGTAGCATGTATCAGTGCATCTTTTTTTTTTTTTTTTTTTTTTGAGACAGAGCCTCAAGCTGTCACCCTGGGTAGAGTGCCATGGCTTCACTGCTCACAGCAACCTCCAACTCCTGGGCTCAAGCGAGTCCCCTGCCTCAGCCTCCCAAGTAGCTGGGACCACAGGCGCCCACCACAATGCCTGGCTATTTTTTGGTTGCAGCCATTATTGTTGTTTGGCGGGCCCGGGCTGGATTCGAACCTGCCACCTTAGGTGTATGTGGCTGGCGCCTTAGCCGCTTGAGGCACTGAGCTAGTGCACCGAGCCAGTGCATCATTTTTTTAATGTAGCCAAATATTCTATAGGTATACCACATTTTTGTTGATTTAGTTACATCACATTCATAAGTTGATGGGCATTTAGGTCGTTTCCACTTTGTGACTATTAATAATACTGCATGAACACTAGTGTACAAGTTTTTGTATAAACATGTTTTCAGTTCTTTTGGGGATATAGTTAGGAGTAGAATTGCTGAGTCACATTGGTAACTCCTTGTTTTACTTTTTGAGGCACATTGTCAAACTGTTTTCCAAAGCAGCTGCACTGTTTTACATTCCAAGGCAATATATGACAATTTCAGTTTTTCTCCCCAAACCTTGCTTTACTTCTCCTCAAAGCACTTGTCACTCCCTGACTTTATGTTCACTTATTATTGTCCGGTTCTTCCATTAGATGGCAAGTTCTGAGAAACGGGGCTTTTGTCTTGTTTGCTGCTGTACCACCAGCACCACACAGTGCCTGGCACATAGTAAAACACTCAGTAAATATCTGTTGAATCCATGAGCATACTACTCTAATCTTTATTCATGTAACCATT